TGCTTCTGCTTCTGTCAGCTCTGATACAATTGCAGTATGTGGGGATTACAGCTACACTACAATCTAAGGCAATCAGCAATGTTTCTTTCTTATACTCTCAGTCCTCTGCTCTGGCTGCAGTTGTGCAGGGCTTTTTTCCTCTTCTTAAATCTTTTATCCCAGAGGCACTAACACTGTTGCTTGGCTGTGGCCAGCAGTGGGTCTGTCTTGGAGCCAGCTGGCATTGGCTCCGTTGGTCTCTCTTAAGAGACCTCAAACGACACTAGACGTCTACGTGTAGACTGCTGAATCCTGCCCTTACTTTCAGTCTTACCTCTCTACTTCATTTCTCTGGTATGATAAGATTCTTGTGTATCTTACATTGCTTTTATATATGTGTATGGCCCTAAATCCACATCATAGTTTCATAAACATTTCTAAATATTCACACTGGAAACTTAGGGCTGCCTGCTTTTCCTTATATTTTCTTATAATTATAATAATACAGCTTTTCAATACTAAACATATATTTTAACATTTTGAAACTACTACCAGTTGTCTAGTACATGAATTATTAGCTAGTCTTTATTACAATATTCACTGTTATCTAATTAGAGGTAGTTTTACCCTCAAGAGCATATCCCCCGGTGACAAAAAGCCATAGAAAAATAAAGAGCTTTTTCATTTATGGACAAAATACCGTGTATTGTCTAGATGAATTATTCTTTCTAACAAACTTTCTTCTTGCTTCTTAGTAAGCAATGGGATATACTGGGCAAATAATGATGAGCAAGGAAAAGATCTCAAGAAAACAATGAACTGATCTTGCTTAATTTAAAGAAGCAACTAGTCAAATAACATATGAAAAACACACACTAAATAATGTTATTGAGAAAGCTAGTTAGAAATGTTTAATTTCATTCCATAAAGGTAATGGAAGAAAGGATAATTCATATTAATGGAAATGAAAGCTGCTAAAAGCAAGTAAAATTCATAATTTTTTGGGTAGAATTTATTACTCTAATTATAATCAATATCTTGTCAGGATTAAAAGAATTTTACAGGGACTGCAGAAATACTACAATAAAATTTTTATAAAGAAAAAAAATTCAAGTTAATTTCAAAAGCTCTTTTACAAATGAGATATTAGTGTATGCCAAACATGGAAAGACTGCCATGTGAACTATAGGCACCCTTACAAAGTGATAGAGAATAACAATGCTCCCTCACGCTCCTTTCAACTGAGAAAGTAGATTTTTATATTGCCTTGAATATGCCAGGCTGAAATCTGTAAGTAGTGCAGCAACCGTCATGAAATGTTATCAGCTTTCTAGCAAAACATTTCAACCTTAAAGTAAGGAGAATCAGGGGTGAACTGAATCTCAGGAGGCTGACTTTTTTTTAATTTACTTGCTCTATACTTTTTCTAGGGTAAAAAAATCAATCTCTTATTATTATTACTCCTAGTAATGTTTAGGAGAATGCATTTTACTCCATACTGTGATGCATTGTCATAAATTTTCAGAGGACAGTCGCAGCTGCTCGAGATATAACAAAACTGCTTATATCGTAATGCAAGGAGAAAGCTAACTTTTGCCTCTCAAAATATCAGAAGGAAAAAAAAATCCTTCAAATTTTTTTTTAAAAAATTACAGAATTATCTGAAGTATAACTTAAAAAACTATTATGAACTAACACCATTGTGAAATTAAATTTGTAATGATTTGTCACTTTCATGGGCCTGAACTTGTTATTAATAAATGCTTGTAGCATTTCTTCCATGACAAAATTTCTCTGCTTCTTGGGGTTTCTGATTTAATAATAGAAATAAATATTTCTAATTATAATAATGTGGTTTATTTTTAAATTTTGTACTTTATATATTCCAACTTAGCTGTACATGTCTACATTTGAGCTGACTGACCTGACTTTTTTTAATAATCGGTAGAAGTCTGGAGTATGATTCAGTTCCTTAACCACAATGTCTTGTGCTATTTGAGAGGTACTGGAGGATCCCTGAGTCACTTTCTGCTTTTGAAAGGCATGGGACCTCTTTAAAATCTGTGATAGGTAAAAATTACTAATTCTATTTCCCTTGTGTTTTTGTCTTAAATGTAGCTAGACTCACCACAAAAGCACCCATGTTTTAAATAATCCTGTCTTATCATGTACCATATAGGCAGCTTTCACGCTTAAAGGAAAAGTCACATAGTACTTAAAAGGTCAGTATTATGATATGAACTTGTGAAAATTTGTATCAGTACCTTCCTAGAGATATCTTTTCACCCAGACCCGAGTGGTGGAACAGTCATTCCCCTGTACAAGCCTCACACTGATTCCTGATATTTAGATCCCTCTTCTGCAAGGCAAGATGTGAGCTGGACTCCCTATGGGTTCATTTTGTCTCACTATGTTTGATTGCTTTAAATGTTATTTTAATCACCAATACAAATTATACCTTAAAACAATGAACTGAATGCTGCTCAGTTGTTTCTAGGCTTTTAAAGGTCTAGGTTTTAGAGCAGAGGAAAAGGGCTTGCATCTTGCTGCTGCACTAGGTTGGATTACAGACATCCCAAGAACACTGCTTACTGAGGGCCGACTGAACTGCATCCCACTTGGCACAGGCTCTGGAGACTACAGATGAAGCTGGTCAGACAGCAGGTGTCCATCGGCTTTTTTTTTATTCATACTGTCTTTATGTGTCTGTATTTTCTAAATTACTACAGAGATTTTAGCCCCTCTTGTGCTGAAGTCTTGTAAAAACATTTTCTCTTTGTGGTACAGTGTATAACTTGTTTCATGCTGAGACAGAAATACAAAGGAGAAAATTGCTTCCAGCAATATGTTTCCACTTCAGACCCCTCAAGTGTTTGTTGATTTAGGCCTATCTATACTAAAATGTAAAAAAAAAAAAAAAAGGTAGATTTAGCTTTTTTATTATTTTATTTTTCTACTTGAAGTAGATTTAATTTACTCCAGTGGTTAAGGTAAAGCTGAAGATGAAAACAAAAACTGTTTTATAAAAATAGAATAATTTCAAAAGTATATTGTTTAGACTCTGAATTTTTGGGATCAGAATAAGCAGTTGTAACATTAAATAAAGAGTTGACAAATATTTAAAATTTTATTCTTTTTTCAATGAATGCTTTTTTTTAATATAAATTCAGGTAGTTAAATAAGGGACTCATTTTTCTATTTCCCCTCATATACTGAAAGTGTATCTTGTTCAGTCAACATATTGCCAAGTGACAGATTCAGATAGCAATATTCACATCTAGAGCGGCAAAGCAAGTTACAGAACAGCAACCAGGGAAAGCTATAGAACTTGACCCAGTGTACATAATTTTGAAATAAAAGTCTAAATATTTGCGGCTGAGTTGCCAAACACTTTAGATGGGCAATTCAAAGGTCTCTGGAGCTGTTATTCCACAACTAATTAGTTTCTGCAGTGAAAAGAGTATAGTTTTCTTCTGCCAAATACAGTGTTTCTGCAGCATCTGATGGTATTGACATTACCAATTAGATATCGTTCTAACACACTTGCAATTCACCCATATGTCCAGTAGGCCTCTGTTACACTTGCCCAAATCAATAATTAATCAAGACTGCATCATTTTCAATAAAGTTCTCTTGCTTTTTCAATCAGAAAGCAGTAAAGATATGTCAAAGTTTATTCTACAGTGTATTCTTTGAAATGACACAAAAAAAGTTGTTTCTTTTGATAACAATGTTTTCTCTCTCTGTTTTTAACACTGTAGACACTGTTTTCTACTAGGTCCAAGGTTAAGGATTCCTATACAGAGCAGATTATGTTTTGACATTTACAGTAGTGTAATCAGTCTGCATCTTACCAAAGAACAATTGTGTAATAGTCATGTCCAAAGAAGAGCAAGGAAGCTGGTGAAGTGTCTGAAGCACAGGTTTCATGAGGAGCTGGGGTTGTTTAACCTGGAGAAAAGGAACCTGAGAAGAGACCTTATCACTCTCTAACTTCACCTGAAAGAAAGTTGTAGCAAGGTGGGGGCTGGTCTCTTCTCCCAGGTAACAAGTGACAGTATGAGAGGAAATGACCTCAAGCTGCATCAGGGGAGGTTTAGATTGACTATTAGGAAAAGTTTCTCCACCAGAAGAGTTATATAGCATTAAAACAGGCTATTCAGGGAATTAGTTGAGTCACCATCCCTGGATGTGTTTAAAAGACATGTAGATGTGGCACTTAGGGACATTGTTCAGTGGTAGACTGGGCAATATTAGATTTACAGTTGCACTCAATGATCTTAAAAGTTTTTTCCAACCTTGATGGTCCTATAATTCAATGATAGTTCTTCCTGAGAGAGTTGTTATTGTGAAGATATTCTGACAAAAAATTCTTTCATTTTTTATCATGAGTGCTCAACATCAGTTACAGTTCAGTTGGAATAGGTTGTACAGAGAGTTTGTAGATTCACTGCTAGTGGAGATTTTCAAACCGCAGCTGGGCCTGACTCTGAGAAACCTGGCTGAACTGCAAAGTTAGTCATGAGGGGAAGAGGAGGGGCAGGCACTGATCTGTTCTCTATGATGACCAGTGACAGGACTTGAGGGAATGGCCTGAAGTTCCAGGGGAGGTTTAGGTTTATGTTGGATATTAGAAAAATGTTCTTCAGCTAGAGGGTGGCTAGTGATGGACTCCCCAGGGAAATGGTCACAGGAGCACTGACAGAGTTCAAGAAGCTTTGGTTAGGAATTTGGATCAAATGACCTCAGAACGTATCTTCGAGACCAAACTAATTGTATTATTCTATTCTACTATTCTGTGATTTTATTATTCTAATATCTTAGAAATCAGAGCAAAATCACACTATTATGTAAGAACTTACAAAAAATGTTTCATTCTTACTATTGACCCTTCAAGGCAATATTAGAAAAAATTTAATTTTTTTCCTTTCATTTTTTCCTCAACTTTTTTGCTTTATCTAAAGTAGATCCAAGGTCTGTATGCTTATGATAGAGTTCAAATCCGAGCCACAGAAACTTACTCATATTTGAAAAGAAAGTTCATCTCTAGTCGAAACCTAAAATTCTGATAATCCCAACTGCTGTAATGTGAAGAGAGAAACCAGTGAACTTTGTATTTTTTGCTTAAAATCCAAATGCAGATTCTGTACCTGATATTATTGGTTTGTAAACAAATATATTTTAAAATATTTTATCTTTAAATAGAAACTTAAATATGTAAGAGAGGAGGTAAAGAAAGATTAAGTCCTATGAATGTTTATATTATTGAGATGGAGAAGCAATTCCACACTTCACTCAAACCTTTTCTACTACACATAACAGTTCTTTCAGCATCATTTTTTGTAGGATAGACTGAATTCCAGAATGATTCCCTGAAATCCGTCTTTGTCATCAGGGAGTGATGAAAAATCTTGTGTGTGCATTTGTGTACAAATGTGTACAGATTGTGTACACTTGTATGAGTGTTTGTGTACAGCTGTCTACATTTGAAAAGATTAGATCTTCCAGCTCTAGCACTCTTTTTGTTATGTTACATGACAATTGGGAATTTGAATGCAAGAATAACATTTTGTATTGGTAGATATGAAAATTTTTAACAGTTGCCAGAGATAGCTCAATCAAGTAAATCAGAGTGAAATCTCCAGATTCAAGTAATGTATAGCTATAGATTAGGTGTGTTTATACAAAATTTTATCAGTTATTTTAATAGAGCAAGGCAATATTCAGAGATGATGTAGTTCTATGAAGCTTTGCACTCTAAAAGAGGTTGCAGAATTCTAAACTGTCATAGAGACATTCAGTCTTACGTGTGGAAGTGACTGCCTTGTAGGAGGGACCATAGGCTAGAATTTTTCCACAGCTCTGTCCCTGCTACTCAGATATTCCTATATAATATTTCCAGTCAGTTTTAGAAACTACAATAAGATGGGCATTTTCAAGAGATTGATCTGTCTTAACATTAGATATACTTAAGTGTGAGCTAATCACTCTTATTTTCTGTTATACCCCTTAACTGCAGACTTCTAATATATAGAAAAGTAGTAAAAAATTCAATTACCTCTACCATCTGTAGTGCGAAGGAAGAACTTCTGAATGGTAACCTATCTTAATCCAGAGTTAAAGATTTTTGTCTCTGGTGGTACCTATTTCTTGCATAGATTAGGAGAGGAACTAATATGGGGCTTTGTTTTCTGCTGCAAACATCGTTGACAACACAGGGTTGTTTCAGTTATTGCTGAGCAGTGCTTAGACAGCCAAGGCCTTTTCTGTTCCTCATACTGCCACACCAGTGAGGAGACTGGGGGTGCACAAGAAGCTGTGAGGGAACACAGCTGAGACAGCTGATCTCAACTCACCACAGGGATATTCCATGTCATATGATGTCATGGTCAGCAATATAACTGGGAGGTGGAGACTGGCAGCGGCTGCCATTGCTCCAGTACTGGCCAGGCATTGGTTTGCTGGTGGTGAGCAATTGCTTTCTTTTGCATCTCTAGGTTTTATTTTCCTCTCTCTTCATTGGCTTTCTTACTTCAGATTTTTTCTTTTCTCTTTTTTATTTTTTTCCCCTTTCTTAAACTGTTTTTTTCTCGACCCTCGAGTTTTCTAACTTCTACACTTCTGATTCTCCCCCATCTTATTGTGGGCAGTACTGAGCAAGCAGTTGTGTGGTGCTTAGATATTGGCTATGGTTAAACCACTACATGTGCAAAGTGAAGACATTGATTGTTCCATAGATCCATAATATTTAGAGTTAAGGGTGGATGCCTGAGTTGAAACAGGGGAAGTTAGCCACATGCAAGAGTATGTTGAAATTGTCAGCTCAAAGACTCTGCAAGGAGAAAGTTGCATTTAGTGATGAAAACCGATTATTCTGTCTGTAACTAGCATTAGAGAGTCTCAACCTTTTGATACCAGATGCATATTATTTTCATTTATACAGCACCATGAATTATTTTCTTTCAATTTCTTGAACAGTTCAAAGCTATATAGCATGCATATGTCTTTTTTTAGTCTCTGAACTTTTTCAAAAGCTATTTTGGACTGTCATTATCTTTCCCTGTCGAAACTGTCAAGTTGCATTAAAAATGAAACAACACATTTCCTTAGAAATATGGTACTTGTTGTTATGAAAAGGGAACAACTTGACCTTACTAATGGGTCAGCAAGAGTGTTATCTGAGTGTTTTCAGATATGGAAATGTACAGAATATTTGTTATGACCTTTTCAAATTTCAGGTTCATATTATTGGTTGAGATCACAAATCAAGAAATATAGAAATTTAATAGAAGTAAGAAAAGAATCATATTTGTATCTGAAGTTTAAAAGAAAGTAAATTGCTTAACCAGTTGAGGTCACCACCTATGTATCTGTATTTGATGAAATGGTAAATTAGCTTGTAGTAGTGAGCCACCTGAGTAAATACTTCTTTCTTTTTCAGTTTGCTTCACTATTGAAGTTCCCCTACGTTATTAGTGGAAAGAAGAGGCATGATTAAGAGCTTAAAAGAGGAAAGTTTATTTTCTTCTTCCGATCTACAGCTAGAAACACCGTGGAAAGGTCATGGAATTATTTATATTAGAAAGTTATAAAATGTGTTTTTAATGGAAAAAATAAAGAGCATGTCTCTATATTGCTGTGCCTTTTTAGGCAGTGGTGTCTAGCTTATTCTTCAGCAGGTGTTACCTATGCAAAACTTGTATCTGAAGCATAGCTTTTATTCCATTTTAGACTCACAGAAAGAAAAGTAATTAATCATATAAACAATGAATTTCCAGTCTTCTTTTTGCTTCAGTAGTAAACAGTTAATTATGCAAACTAGTCTTTCAAAACAGATCATGAGCAAGGAAAGCATTTTGCATATGGTGTGCATTAAAGAGTATGTTACATGCATATGTTGATATACATATATACAGACATACATATATAACATATTATAGAATATGTTTAATATATATGTACATACATACCTATATGGAAAAGACCTTTAAGATCATATGAAGAAAAGGTAAAAATATGTCATATTATTAAAGCTTAAAAAGGGGTTGCTGCTCTGTTGTTCAGTCCAGGTATGAGAAACAGAAATGGGAGAGGAGTGACTTTTTTCAGAGCTGTAGTTGAAGCAATGCAACATACCCACCTGTATTAGGCCTTACTTTACAAGGTGAAAATGCTCATGCTGAAGTCAGTAGATAATACACTGGGCACTTGCAGGGGTGGAGTGGAGCTGTGTTCATTCAGTGTATAATTATAGTGAATAAAGAATGACTCTTTCAAATCTGACATATATTCCTCCTTGAGTGTCTGATATGCATACCCCTAGGATGATGGATAGTACACTGGTTATAGTTGACTATACTGACAAGGCAAAAAATATCAAATAACGACAAATTTCAAATGTAAGTCTCCAGCCAGTTTTCTGGGACAAGATTCTCTTCTGAAAATCCATCTTTATTTTCCAATTTTATTTTTTAATAAAATAATTCTACGTTTCTATATTAAACTGCCAGTGTCACAGAGAGGTAATTCAAATATATTTTACATGCCTGCAATCTGTTAATTGGCTTGTTATATGTTTTATCTGTGTTATTCTGCCCCAAATACTAAAAAGTAAGTGTACACTGCTTAATTTTATTATGATTTTAGTGCAGCTCTTTTTCTCTTTTTCTCCTATCCTTATCTTTCATAATATTAGATTAAATATCATAGAAATGATTTTTTATTTTTAAAATGCAATCTTCATTTAAAAAACAAAATGTACTCAAGATAGTTGAGAAAGGCAATATCATAACAAGGACTATAAAGAATCTTTACCTGCACACAAGAATTTCCTTCTCTGAATTCAAGACTTGTGTTTCTTTCCTTGATTCTGCCTCCCTGTTGAATTTTCTGCTGTTACTGAAGCATCAGCTGTTTTCTTGCTTATTTGTGCTACAAGTATATAACGACAGCTGTTCAGACAGTGATTATAGTACTCTACTGCAAAATTGTGATGAATAATCAGTAGAGCAGACTGAAAACCAGAAAAAGGTACTATGATAATGCTGCTGGTTTTTGTGTTGTTGTTTTTTTTTTTAATTTAGGTTTGAAGAAAACTAACCTCCACAGACTGGAAATAACAACTATTGTAAATGTAGCAGCCATTTTAGCATACAGCACTAGGACTTGATTCTAAGACTCGAGTAAGTTTTCTGAAAAATTCTTGATAACAGTGATGTTTTTAAAAATTATATATTTGTCTTGTGAAATTAAAACCATTTCTGTTCTTTGCTTCATTACTGTGGAATAAATATTCTGGACCAAATTATTTATAGTACCAGAGATAGGTCTTCTACTCTAAAACAAACCTCTTCCTATAGAAGGCCTAATTAGGTTGTGCATACAAAAAACAAATAAAACAAGCAAATTACAAGACTGTATAAAAATATAATTCTGAATTAAAATGTATATATAATTTTGAATTAGCCTAGTTCCTTAAGTAAACAAATTTTATAGACTCAGGAATGGATTGTAGGTATATGCCTACCTGTAAAATATACTCATTTACATCACCCTGGAAAAGAAAAAAACAACTTCTGGATTTAGAAAAATTTAAATGAGGTTAAAAAGTATTGAAGCAAAATAATTTTCTATGATTTTATAAAGAACAGCTTGCAACAAGGAGATGGGCAAGTTTGTTTCTAATATTTTTTTTTTATTATTATTTTAACAGTTGAGTATGTTGATGTATTCTTTGAAAGTATGTTGGAAGTTTACATGGAGATAACTCAAATTTAGAATATGGTCACACAGACAAGTTTGACACCTTTACATTTTCTTGAAGTTAATTTTCCTTATGTAAGAAGCATTCTTAAAGCCAGTCTGACTATTTTTTGAAAGTAACGTACAAGAAGTGGTTTTTAATCTTTTGTTGAAAAGCTGAAAAAATCAGTGCAAGTTTCCGAAAGCACACTCATTATTAAAAATTTAAAAACCACTGATTTGTTAAATAAATCACTGATTTATGATATATGGAGGTGTCTTTTTTAAGGAGTATGCCAGTAAGTTAGATTGTGATACAGAAACATCTCTGATGAAATAAATAGTAGATACAATTGCAAATAAGGTAATAGAAGAGGATGAGATGGCTTCTACTGACAAATAGAAGTCCTTCCAGAAATATTTTTGTCTAAGACATTCTAAAGCAATAGACAGTGATAATGATAAGTTATTAGGTAATGGATAAAAAAGAGGGAGAGTTCTAGATGCTGGTTTATGATCCTGCTTGAAGCAGAGAGTTTCTTTAGTCCAAAGCAGTTGCAGAAACATAAGCGAGAACTCAAAAATGGGAACTAAGAGGGTTCCCAGCTTAATATACAAACAAGTATGATTCCATATTATTAATCAACAGTTCTCAATAAGAAGGAATTCTAGTACCCAAACTTCACAGGTGAAAGCACAAGGAACAATGTACTAAATCCTGAAGCCAGATCAGAATAATTGTGAGATTCAAGCTCTAATCATATGCAGGCAAAAAGCTGGAACACCTGAGGCAAGTTCAGTTAGAAAAGAAACAAAGATATGTCAAACACTTTAACTGTTGACAGTTGTCCTTGAGTTGTTTATAATGACTCTTCACTATTCATTCTAAGTGATTGATCACCCAAGTCACAATAGTTTCTGAAGCCTCTTTTGGATTAATGAAACAATTCAAATAGAAGAAACAAAGAGTAATGAATGGTAAATATACTCCAACCTTTGGTTTAAAACTCATCAGGTGGTTAAATTCCTTCCTCAAACTGGCACAAAGAATTTAGCGAAGGTCACGGAAAGCCTACGACAAACTGGGACTGCTGCTCAGTTTTCAACTATGAGACATTTTACGTTTTATAAAACTGCATGTCACAGTTTTATAAACTGTGTAGTTTATAAACTACATGCAATCTGGAAACTGTGGCATGAAAACTGTATACATCTTTTGATACCGAGATGTAAAATTAAACAACTTTTGTTGAGCTTGTTAAGTCTTCTAGTGTGGAAAACAGGTGAAGTCAAATACCAAAACCTACACATTGCTGCTGAAGTTCCATATATGTTTTAATTGTGGTGTCTTATTTCTTGGAAGACAACTTTTTATTGTAGCTTTCAAAATGATTTATACAAATATAAAAATAATTATCAAAATCTAATTTTAATGTCACGTAACTATAATTCATTTATTATTTAAATTATTAGCTTGCTAGAGGGAATCTAATTGCCAAATTTCAGCTGAGTGAAGTGATATGTACAAAACTAAGTTGCTCTCCTTTTTACTGTGTGATTGTTCAAACACATTGGG